TGATAGGGCTCTGGGGCAGATACAGGCCAGTGACACACTGCTGATAGGGCTCTGGGGCAGATACAGGTTAGTGACACACTGGTGATAGGGTTCTGGGGCAGATACAGGTTAGTGACACCTTTTATAGGATTATAGTACAAACATGTCTTCAGGGAGAAAAATTAAAACTGTTTGGGGAAGTTAATAATTAACTGTTGATTTGTCTAAGTCTTTTGTCATCTAACATCATTAATACGCATTAAAATGTTGAATACGTGCTCATTATTGTATCCTTAGGAGACACCCTTTTCCAGGATAAATCAGAAACTACTGTATACTGTAAAGTAATACCGCAAGCACTGTAACATAGTGCTAGTACAGAACGTAACAGGAATAATAAAAATGAGATGAGACAGACAGTATCGCATGATAGAGTGTGGTGTGGAGAAGATGTTGGCAGGGTACAGTAAGGTTAGTTTTGTTGTGGTAGGAGTCTCTTCTCTTACCTGGGGCAAGAGGTGCTGACCCTGACTTCCTCTGGGCCCAGTAGTAGACGATGATGACCACTCCTCCCGTCACGAGGAGGTCCCCCAGTATCAGACCAGCCACCGTCTGAATCTCCAGCTCGTAGCAGTTCTCACACACTGCACACACACACACAGAGGGACAGTGAGACCCCGAGTCTCTATCACACACACACAGAGGGACAGTGAGACACCGAGTCTCTATCACACACTGCACACACACACACTGCACACACAGAGGGACAGTGAGACCCCGAGTGTCTATCACACACACACACACAGAGGGACAGTGAGACCCCGAGTGTCTATCACACACACACACACAGAGGGACAGTGAGACCCCTAATCTGTGCCTCTATCACACACACACACACACACACACACACACAGACACACAGAGAGGGACAGTGAGACCCCGAGAGTCTGTGTCTCTATCACACACACAGAGAGAGGGACAGTGTTACGTACAGGTTGCATCTCACTTTTTAACAATTATTATTAAAACATTTCCAACTCACCCTTTCCCTTGACATAAATATAGTAAGCACTTTTAGATTCTGGGATACAGGAATACAGTCCTTCGTCATTGCTGGAGAAATTCTCAATCCTATAGTTTTGGTCTTTATTATCTTTTTTGTTGCCATCTTTTTTCCAGGTATAACTGTCTGGAGAGTCTGAATCTTCTGGACAGGACAGGGTGACTGAAGTTTTCCAGAACTCCACCAGCTCTGCACAGGAAAGAAGAAAGAAACCGGAACATGGTTTAATAATGATTTAATAATCATTAAATACTTGGCCAAATAAGCATGTAAAGTATCAGAGCTAATTTTGTTTTCTTTTATGCCTGACTTTTGCCTTATTTTAATTTTCTAGCTTATTTGACTATGACTGGTGAAAGAGTTGCCGTTTAAAGTGACAAAAATATCAGGGCAAGAGGCTCCCAACACAGATCGTGGGTTGTGTGGAGGCTGATAAGAGACAAGTCTCGGTTATTCTTTTTCCCTAGAAATGCTTTACAGAGCGTGAAGTGTTAGCATTCTGGCCAAGACCAAAGCTCTGCTTCAGCCAATTCAGGGTCACAGGGGGAGACAGAGCCTATCCCAGCATGCAACGGGCTCAAGGCAGAGTACACCATGGACAGGAGACCAGCCTAACGCAGGGCACACACAGACACACTCACTCACACCAGATGCCAATGAACCCACCAGCATGTCTTTAGACTGTGGGAGGAAACTGGAGCCCCCGGACGAAAACCCCTATGGACGCAGGGAGAACGTGCAAACTCCACCCAGACAGCGCCCCAGGGACTGAACCCAGGGCGCCAACGCTCCCTACTGAGCCAGTGTGCCACCCCAGCAGATACCAGTAAGTACTGATAACTTTCCCTTAAGTTGAGGGCATGTCCTGAGTGCTGTTTCTCCGGAACACCAGACAGACACAAATGAGAAGTGTTTTCCCCCCTCTCATTTGTATTAACACAGGAAATTGTCTGGGGCTGACTTTGGAGACATGGCCATTCACAAGCCAGGAAAAATGCCAAACTGTTTGCAAGAAATAAAAAAAGTTTCATGTTCACTTTTCCTAGAAACCTTGAATAGGAATATTACAGTCCCAGCTTTGTACAAATACAGTATATTTTTCAGTGGTGTCCCCACTGTCGGTGATATTTACATGCTTGCATATGATTGTCTCTAAAGACAGAACCGTGCTGACAGAAGCTGGTATTTCAGACCAGGTCAGAATCTGTTTCTGTCTTCAATCACCTGGACCAGACAGAGCTCCGTCAGGCTGGAGTGGAGGACACAGGGGGACACAGAGCACGAGAGACTGGCGTACGCCCTCAGAATGAACAGACTGTTAACTTCGCTACAGTTCTAAAAGGCACAATACATTCCTGTTGGCTTTTCGCAGGAGTAGACAGCAGGGACAACGCCACTGCAGTTGCATTTAAGAAAAAAGATTATTTACAATAATAGCCTCCAGCTGACCTATGACCCTGTGTTGGATTAAGTGGTTATTAAATGGAGGGGTGAATTATTTTACAGAATGATAAATGCAACGTGTGGTGCATTTATCACGCGGGCCCTGCTAGTGAAAACAATGAGCTGTTTTTAATGTTGGATGCATTGTTGTATGCAAAGAAACTCCAGGCCCACCGAGATATACCCGTTATTCCAACCGAGAACGCTTAATTTCGTAATTATTTGATTGGGCGAATTTTTCGTTCAAAATGTCTTTTCAAAATGAGTTTTTCAAGAAAGACAGAGTCGACCGGTCGTGGCCTAGCGGATCAAAGTTAGACGAAGATAGAAAAAGATATATATTGTGGTTGAAAAACAAATCCTAATTATTTTTTTCGAATTCTGTATTAATGGCATCTGGCTGCTTCCTCCTCAGCTGAGATGCCCTGAAATATTATTTCGTTTTTCTTCCGTTTGATCGGATTTTCTGTGAAAACAGAATACAGCCCCCAAAAAAGATCTTCCGTACATATAAGTAAGCATATTAAAAATATTCTCAAAATTTATTTTTTATAGAAACCATGTACATGCACATCTCTATGCCTAACATGTTGTATATATTTTAGAAATTAAATTGTGAAAAGATTGTTATATTTCAGGAGAATTGATAGGGATGCAAATGTATATATACTGTATTTTGTTTCTTAAAAGAAAAACACACTTTCTTTGCACACAACTGTCTGACCACACTGAAAACAACAACAAAAAAAAAACATTTAAGAAGCTGGAGCAGGACAGTGATTCCTAAAAATACCTAATTGTTCTTCCATATGAGGAAACATGAGAATCCGTATCAACAGGGACCAGAGCTGGTTTGTAAAGACGCTCAAAAGATTTCTGTCTCTTATTTTTCTGTAGTTCTGATCACCTTACTAAATCGAAACTATTTCAAATTCTAGCAGCTCCTTCAGATCTGGTCACTGGAAGACGTTAAGCACAGGACAGCTCAGCAGTGTTCCTTGGTCATCCCAAAAATGGAAAATTAAAGTACTTTAAGAGGACTGAAAACACACCAGCACCATCCTCTTACTTTGCTGTTCTGGCCTTTAAAACATGGTTCGGTAAAGCATATTGGTTAGAGTTCTAATCACAGATATTTAAATATAAAAATGTTGGTATGTTAGTATAATGCCTTCAGAATTGACGTTGTCTTACGTTACAAGATTAAGACGCGGATTCAGAAGAAATAGCAGTACGCATATTATTTTCAGTGAGCTGACAAAAAAAAAACAGGCACAATACATCTGTCGATCGACCAGAACCTTAACAAATGAAGCCGATAAGGAGTCTGGAGTCTAGAAGGTGTCCTAGAAGGTTGGACTCTAGACGGCCATGAAAAGGAAGACCACCTTTGTTAAAGAGCTGGGCTGCTGTATCGGACAGACTGTCAGATACTCCCCTGCACCCTTGCTGAGCTGCGCCCAGTGAGCTCAGCTGGGATACTCACTGGCATTCGCCAGAGCTCATCAGAGCTCCATGACTTTGACACTGTATCGGTAAGTAAGGTTGTGTAAGCACTCTAAAGAGATCCAACAAAATGGAGGCTCCATACCATCACCTGTGACTGTTTATCGAAAATATGAGGCTCTGTGTGTGGTATATGAGCATAATTTAATGCAACCCTGAAATGACAGTATTTTTTAAAAGTAAAGAAGAAGATTTGCGAATAAATTATTTGTGCTGTCATATTAAATCTCAATGTCACCATAAATCGATCAGGCTGTCAAAAAAAAGCAAACGACACCGCAGATCTAAGCAGAAGATCGAGAGGGATAGTCTGGACGGTCCCTCTTACCTTTACTCTGGCTCTGGGCGGCCATGAGGAGGAGGAAGGACAGACAGAAGATGGCTTTCTTGTTCATCCTGGGTTCTGGCCTCTTCCGCCGGCAGCCGTCTGTTGGTTCTTCACACCCTGCGGGGGTCAGAGATCGGGTCCGGAGCGGGTCAGAACCGGGAGGTTTTCTGGGCCGCGCTGGAGAAAGGCTTGAGCAGCCGAGCTGTGCTGCCGGAGGGAGGTTCGTCTCTGGCTTCGGGGCGAGGGCAGGAAGCGGTGGTGGCTGGGGGGGTGGGGGTGGGGCGCGTCGCTCAGCGCCGCCACGAGATCGCAGTCTCGATTGTTCCTGAGGCGGCCTGCGACAATGCGCCCCGAGAGCTTATCAGCACGGGAACATCTCAGCTGTCTTCAGCTGCTGTCGTCGACACAGTGGGGGCCTTATTAAAAATAATGAGCGCGGCGCTCTCAGATTAGCGCGCCAACCACCTCAAAGGCCATGCTCACGCACAATGGCGCGCAGAGTTACGAAACCTGGAAGTGGGTTTCACAAGCCCCCCGGCACACAAATGCACAAATACACACACACGCCGTCCCCAAGAGCACAAATAACCCCCCTTCTACACAAGCACCTGCAGCAGAGCCTTGCGTGGCGCAGAAGGTGCTGTTGGGTTTTTGCCTGCTCCCTTTTGTGCCTGGTATTTTGTCATCTGCCCTCTTTGCTTCAGATGTCATTGCGGCAGGACAGGTCAGGGAAGCCTGATTTTATACAGCTGACCATTGCCCATTTAATCACTTTAAAACACGTTGATTCCTGTAGGCCTGCAATCACTGTAAATAGACACACTGGGTGAATATTAGTTAATTCAACTGATAATTAGTGAAGGGCTGAGAAGACACATTTATTACATGGGTGTGAGTACAGTGTGTGTGATCTATAAAGGTATATAAAGGTTTGGTATATAAGGGACCTCACGATATTAGCTGGGCTTGGACTAGCATGAATGAGTACTGAATTTGTCAAGTCATTGTGCCTGTAACGCGCTGAGACCCGCGGAGATGTTCACAGAGGAAACAGGCTGGAGATTGTAGAAATAATGCAGATCTCTACCGAGCAGGAAGAGAAATGAATGCTTTGTGTGTGTGGCCGTGTTTTTCCCAGGAGCGCTGGGTGTGACAGTGTGATCTAGGACAGTGTGTGTGGGTGTGTGTTTACAGTATGGACGATGTACTGGGGTGTTACGTGTGTAAATGTTGTAATGTTGTTGTGTGTACTGTAAGTGTCGTGAGGATGGTGTGTGTAGGTGTTGTATGTGTGTAAATGGTGTGAGAGTTGTGTGTTTGGCCAAAAGAAGGGTCTGTGCTACACTACATGACTATAACTGTGTCCCCTATGTGTACTTTGCAAATCAGTGATGCACAGAAATTTTCAGTTTAATACCTTTTAACTGGGATTCTGTTTCTCACTGTCTGTACCAAGAATAGCGAGATAACAGTTGGATTTGTAAACATTTTGAACTGTGATAATAAGAAATTATTTATGAAAGACAGTGCCCAGTCTGTCTGCCTTCTCAGCGTTGCTCATTTGGAATAAAGGGACCAGAACTTGGCAAGCCAACTCCAAGCCTCAAGTATAAGAAAAGGATTTAATTTTGGAAG